CCTCCCTGTGACTGACCTGCTCTACTGGCTCTGAGGACCTGGCTCTAGTGCAGGTCGGTTTGATGAGGTTCAGAAACTGAGCCAAGAAGGAATCAACCGGCCGGGAGTGGTTATGGTGGGAAGACAGCTGAATGAGGGAGCACGACTTAGAGCCAAGTGGGGAGAAGGCTGTTCTAGGCGGAGTGGAATGGAATGGATAGCCAGGCACTTAGGTGTGACGATGTGCTGAGGGAGCTCATCTTGCATGGACAGTACAATTGCAGAGCAGGTAGAGAGAGGAAAGGAGGAATTGGATAACACTGGGCCCCGTGTTTAGGAGAGAAGGTGGTTTGGGCAATAGGGAGGACAATAGGGAGCCACAGAGGATGAAGGAGGGAGGGCAGCAGCAGAGCTGGTGTGCAGGCCACTTGAGGGCAGTGAGTGAGACTGGTCCCTGATGAACACCTGCTTGTTCCTGCCCCAGTTCTCGCTCCTCTCAGAGGTGAGAGGCACCATCTCCCCTCAAGACCTGGACCGCTTCGACCACCTGGTGCTGAGGCGGGAGATTGAGTCAATGAAGGCGCGGCAGGCCCCAGGCCCGGCAGTCGGCGACACCTACTCCATGGTCTCCTACAGTGACACGGCCTCCACGGGCAGCCGCGGCACCTCCACCACCGTCAGCTCAGCCAGGGTGAGTCGCCTCTGACGTTGACCCTTCCCTGTGTCCCGCAGGACAACCCGGTGGGTGAGTTCAGAGCCTGGCTCTGGAGTGAGACTGGTGGGGTTCAAATCCCAGCTCCACACTCACCAGGGCCTGGTCCCCTGGAGCCCCAGTGTCTTTGGATAAAATCAGTTATCAACAGAGCACCCACTGCGTGCCAGGCACGGGCCCAAGGACAGGTGACCGGGGAGGCGGGGCTGGGGGAGGATCAAATGAGAGAGGACAGGTGCAGGTGCCCTTTGCCCATGCCTGGCTCCCAGAGAGCACTCAGTGGGTTGGTCGGTGGTGGTAGCAGTGGTGTGTGCATTGTGGGGGTGCTGTGTCCCCTACCTGACTTGTTCTCTGACTGCCAGTCCCTGGGAATGCACCTGGTATAGTCCAGGGTTCAAACCTGCCCCCAGGATGCTAAAACAAACAACAAACAAAATCCCTGCCACGGAGTCGATGCTGACTCTTAGCAACTGTATAGGACAGGATAGACGAAGTCTTTACAGAGCTAGGCGGACATTAGCTCCAGGAGGCCTTCGGAAGACAGGGACAGGTGGAAGGCCTCGCCACCCACGTGGGCACAGCCATTCATGGACGGGTGTTGATGTTGGACGTGAAGAGCCTGGGCTGGGAGTGAGGGGCTGACACAGTGCACAGACCTTCTCCCCAGCTCTGGTTTCCTGCATCTGGGCCTTGTCACCACCTGGCTCCAGACAAGCCTCTGGCCGGGGCGAAGCCCCCACCTCTGCCTGTGTTTGACCCTGTGGGAGCGGTTCCCCCTGTGGGTCCAGCTCCACTGAGCCTGACCTTGGCAATGTCCATGGGGCCTTCTGTGGCATTTCTGTCCTCAAACCTCAGAGCGACTGCCTATCATTCTGTCAGGGCTGCCTTCGAATTGGGGGTGTGAGCCAGCAGGTGGGGGGCGAGTGCTAGCCTCGGAGGCCTCTCTGAGCCTCCGTTTTCCCACCTGAGAATGGTCTCAGGTTCCTGCTGGCTCCTGCAGGCAGGTCAGGCTGGAGGCGCTGGAGGCAGGGTAACTGTGCCAGGAAGGGGTTGCAGGCAGGGGCACAGGTCAGAAGCACCTGGAGTTGACCCACGTGCCCCCCTTCTTCCAGCCCAGGTCTCTCCCTACCTCAGACATGCTGCTCCAGGCCAGTCCAGAACCAGCTCAGTGTTGGCCTGCCCTGCTGAGGGGCCTCTGCTGGGGCATCTGGGAGAAGGCAGACCTCAGAAAGGCCACGGGGTAGTTTTAGAGACCGTGGGAGGGGTGGTCTTGGAGCCCCTTACCCCACTTCTGCGGAGAGGGCAGCGGATGGGTCCCAAGCAGCACGTTGTGCCCGGGATGGGCTGGAGGTGGGGTCGAGGAGACATCAGGACCAGCTGCAGGAGCAGCTGTCAACAGAAGCTACAGCTTCATGCTGCACCTCAGTTTCCTCACCTGCCTTGGGGCCTTGACACCGTGCCTGCAGGTGCTGGGGAAGATGGCATGTGAGCACACCTGTGTCCCAGGCTAAGGGACCACCAATAACGGGGTGCCAATAACGGGGTGCCAATAATGGGGTGGCGGGGGTGGGGGGGCTGCCCACACGGGAGGGCTACCTCCCTATTGTTTTTTTTAAGTCATTTTTGGGGGGCTCTTACAGCGTTTATAACATTCCATACACCCATTGTATCAAGCACATTTGTACATATGTTGCCATCGTCATTTCCAAAACATTTTCTTTCTACTTGAGCCCTTGATATCAGCTCTTCTTTTTCCCCATCCATCCCTCCCTCCCTGTTCTTTCTGACCCAACCTGGCTAGGGAAAATCCCTGGGCATTATGCTGGGCACATGGAGACTCGTGGAAAGCATTGGGCTGAGGGACTGCCAGACCCTCTCTGACCATCACTGTCCCCCTCCCTTGCCCCCCACCTGGTGCCTTCCGCATGCACAGCCCCCTGGGGTGCACTTGTCAGACTCTGGCCTGCTCTGCCCCTTCAGGCATGCCTCTCCCTGCTAAGCTCTGCCCTTCTCTGGTGGAAGCCTGCTCTCTGCAAGCACCTCTTTCGGGGGGCACTTCATGGGGGATGTGATCTTGCACACAGTCTCTCTCCTGTTCTGAGCCAAATGGGAATCCAGTCTGGGCTCTGCCTGCCAGGCAGCCCCAGGGTGGCCCCTAGGTGAGTGACCACACCCTGCAGCCTTCCTCAGGGACAAATGCAATTTCTGCAGAGGCGCTGGGCCCCAGTGTCCTTCCAGGAGGCAGGCAGACTGAGGGGCGCTGGCTGGGGTGGCAGGGTCTTCCCGCCCCCGCTGCGCTCACGGAAAACTGGAAAGGGGCTTGGCATGGTGTGTTCATTTTGCATTTTGCCTTTGTGTGCCAGTGTGTGTGTATGTGGGGGGTGTGCTGCCCCCACCCACACGTTTATTTTATGAACTCTTCTTTTTGCCTTTTGTGCCCACTCTTCCTCCCCAGGAGCGGCTGCTGTGGCTTATAGACCTGATGGAGGTACCGTCCTTCCCGCTGGGGTGGGGCTGTGGGATTTCCCTGGCTAGGGGCAGAGGTCAGGGGCTGCGGCCCACCCTGCTGCTGCCCCTCCGTCTGCCCCCGGCCTGCAGAGGGGCTGGGCCCTTGGTGCTCCCTGCTTCGGCAGGTGTCTTCAGGTGTCAGGGTGAGCCAGCGGTGCACTCAAATCCCAGAGCTTCCACCCACTGCCACCAAGATCCATTCCGACTCACTGCCAACCGGCCCATGCCGACCCACAGCCAGCCCGTCAGGCATAGGTTCCCAGACCTGTCTGGCCTGCCACCCCCTTTTCATAAAACTACTCGGCACCCCGCTGGCAATTAGAAACATGTATACCATGACCCATAATGGAGGGTCAGACAAGGTGTCTGCTGTGGCCGCCCCTGGAGCATTCCAGCACTCCCCAGGTGGTGGATCCGCCACTTTCAGGAAGCACTGCTATCTAAGGTTTCGGATCATGTAAAGCAGACAGCCTCATCTTCCTCCCTCAGAGTGGCTGGTGGGTTTGAACTGCTGACCTTGGGACAGGCAGCCCCACACATAACCTTATAGAGCCACCAGGGCTCCTTGTGTGACCTTAGGCAAGGGGATTCACCTCTCTGAGCTCCATCTGAGGATGGCCATTTCTGGTCATCACCTGCGTGTGTTCCAGCCCTCAGCCACCTCTTCCAAGCCCATGCCCCTCATCCCCTCAAGTGGGTGATGCAGGCCAGGCTCCCCTTTGCTCATGGCCCCCATCTCATGGTGTTCTATACTGTGTGTCACTCTGACTTCCTGAGGGCAGGACAGAGTCTGTAGGCCCCGTGGAGTCCCTACCACCCAGCACAGGGCCTGCCCTTCATGAGCTGCCTTCTTCTCAGCGGTAATACCAGCCGGCTTGGTGTGGACTCTGTGGCACTGGGATAACGCTTTGCAAATGCATCTGCTTGAAGGAGCCCGGGGACTCGATGGTTAAGCGCTTGACCGGTAAAGGGAAGGTCAGCGGTTCAAATCCCCTTAGACAGTGTTTCCCACGTGGGGCTGCAATGTCAGTTGTTTCTGTACTTTATTCTGGACTGTGGGCGAAAGCACAAAAGTCTTCCGTTGCCCGGGAGAGGGGTCCCAAGGAACGCTTTTCCTCTGAAAAGGAGGTAGAGGCCGAGTGAGTAAGAGAAGCTGTGCACCAGATGTCCTGGGGGGATCTGCTCTCAGAGGGGGGGCAGTCTGTCGGGGAGTCCTGCTCTGTCGGGGAGGGTCACTGTGAGTCAGAATTGATGCCACCTCCCTGGGACCCTGTTCTTTCGTTTTATTTTATTGGGGGCTCATACAGCTCTTATCCCAAACCATCCATCCATCCATTGTGTCAAGTACATTTGTACATTTGTTGCCATCATCGTTCTCAAATAATTTTCTGTCCACTTAAGCCCTTGGTATCAGCTCTGCATTTCCCCCTCCCTCCCCCACCCTCCCTCCTTCATGAACCCTTGATAATTTATAAACTATTATTTTTTCATGTCTTACACTGACTGATGGCTCCCTTCTCCCACTTTTCTGTTGTCCTTCCCCCAGGGAGAAGGTTATATGTAGATCACTGTGATCAGTCCCCCTTTCTCCCCCCACCTTCCCCTTCCCCTCCTGGTATTGCTACTCTCACTGTTGGTCCTGAGGGGTTTATCTGTCCTTGATTCCCTGTGTTTCCAGCTCTTATCTGTACCAGTGTGCATGCTCTGGTCTGGCCACCTTTGTAGGGTAGAATTGGGATCATGATAGTGGGGGGTGTGGGGAGGAAGCATTAAAGTACTAGAGGAAAGTTGTATGTTTCATCGGTGCTATACTGCACTCTGACTGGCTCATCTCCTCTCCCCCGACCCTTCTGTTAGGGGATGTACAGTTGCTTACAGATGGGCTTTGGGTCTCACTCCGCACTCCCCTCATTCACAATGATAAGATTTTTTGTTCTTTAATGCACGATACCTGATCCCATCAACACTTCATGATCACACAGGCTGGTGTGCTTCTTCCATGTGGGCTTTGTTGCTTCTGAGCTAGATGGCCGCTTGTTTATCTTCAAGCCTTTAAGACCCCAAACGCTATATCTTTTGATAGCCGAGAACCATCAGCTTTCTTCACCACATTTGCTTATGTACCCACTTTGTCTTCAGCGATTGTGTCAGGAACATAAGCATCATGGAATGCCAGGTTAATAGAACAAAGTGTTCTTGCATTGAGAGAGTACTTGAGTAGAGGCCCAATGTCTATCTGCTACCTTAGTATTAAACCTATAAATATATGCACTTATCGATCTATTTCCACATCCTCATATATAAATATATTTACATATGTACATGCCTTTACTTAGACCTCTATAAATGACCCTTTGCCTCCTAGTTCTTTCCTCTATTTCCTTTTACTTTCCTCTTGTCCCACTATCATGCTCAGCCTTCATTTGGGTTTCAGTAATTCTTTTCTGTTACATTGCCCTACCAGGCCTCCTACACCCTCCTTGCCATCGATTTTGGATCACTTGTGTTCCCTTGTCCCTGGGAACAAGGGAACCCACTTGTTAACACCCACTTCCTTTCCCCTGCCTCCCCCTCTCCCATGTTCCCCCACAACCTTCGGTCCCTTGTTTTCTCCTCCAGATTGTTTATGATGCCTATCTTATCTAGATAGACTTGCAGATAATACTATGCACAAAAACCAAGACAGAAAAAAACAAAGCAACAAAACAAAACAAAGCAACAACAAAAACTAATGACAAAAGCCTGTAAATAGTTCAAGGTCTGTTTGTTGACCTTTAGGAGTGTTTTCTGGTCAAGTCTGATGGAGTGCCCCGCCCTGGCCCCAAAGTCTATTTTGGGTACTCCCTGGGGACTCTGTTGCTCTGTTCCCCTTGCTGCTCTGTTGCACATCCTTAGTGTTTTGCCTCAGTGTGGTGGGGTCAGATTGGGTGCAATTCCTACACTGTATCTCCAGTGTTGTCCCCGTAGTGTTAGGGGTCAGTGAGGGACATCGTGTCTCATAGTGGGACCGGTCCTATGGGACCCTGTTTTACAGAGAGGAATCCCAGAGCTCAGAGAGGAGGATGACTTTTCCAAGGTCACACAGCTAGTAAGTGATGGGGGAGGGGGAGCAGGATTCCAACCCAAGCCTCCTTGTGCCCCTGAGGCTGGCCACGCAGTGGCTGTGATCAATAGAAGCCAGCTGTCACCTCACAATCGCAGCTAGAAGTCTGACCTCATGCCCTCTTGACTGGGGTAGGGTGTGGGTACCTTCCTCAGCTCTTTGGACTTAGGAACACCCCAGGATTTGGGTACCCCTTGGCTGCAGGTGGGCCCTTACAGGACATCTTTCCCAGGCATCTCTGCTTCTGTGACTATTAATTACCTTTATAAAACACCAGGGCTTACTTTATGGCCCTCCCTGCTACTCCAGTACCACCCTGTTAACGTAACAGATACATCTGCCAAGAACTTTCTTGGAAAACAAGGGCCCCTTCACAGGACAGGGGTTTGAACTCCAACAGATCTCTGTGGGGGGCACAGTTCACATGCATCCACCCACCCGGGTCTCCATCTCTTCATCTGCTTTCCTCTGAACTCTACAACAGGTATTTGCTGAGCATTGCGTGCTGGGATGCAGTCGTGAACAGCTGCAAAGAGACCTTCCTAGTCTGCAGTTTCCAGTAGAGCAGGATGACAGGAAATAAGCACAGCGACATAACTGTGCATGCCACTTAGTTAAGAGGTGAAAAGGCTAAGTTGGAAAATAAACCCGGTGGGGGCTGCGCATTAGGAGATGCAGGGGGCAGGGAGGGTCGGGAGGGATTGAATGGCCGAGAAATGACACTGAGTTCAGACGTGAAAGAGCTTAGGGAGGAACTATTTTGGGGGGAGGAGTGTCACAAGCTTGGGAACAGCAGGTGCAAGCTTCCTGGTGGAGGGGGGGGGCATGTCAGGGGTGTCTGAGAACTAGAGAGGCCGGTAAGGCTGGATGGAGCTCAGGGGTTCACATGCTGAAGACGTAGGTTCTCGTTGAGCGGGGTGGGAGCCACTGGCTTGTTGGAACAATGGTGGGGCCTGGCTGTGTTCTCACAGGGACCCGGTTACTGTGGAGAGGAGACAAGGGTGGGTCTCTACCAAGATGAATGGATTCATTCCCACGAACCAACTATCTCGGTGTGGGCTGTGAGGGGCCTGAGGGATGCTGCAGCCCAGGCTGCTAAGAAAGGTGGTGGTAGCCCCTGCAGCTGCCCAGTTCTGCCTGCTGAGCCCTGCCTGTGCACCCAGCAGGCCTCAGCCTGGAGACCCCATAGGCCTCACCACCACCCAGGAAGCCACTCCCCCAAACCCAGCCCCCGTTCTGCCTCCACTCTGTCTTCCATGCACTGGGCCCCCTGGGAAAGCCCCCCCACTGCTCTTGGCCTCCGTCTCCCCATCCGTACAACTAAGGCAGACTACCAAGGCGCTGCCAACTCTGTTGGTTGGGAGTTGCCAGCCTAGCGGGGCTCTGCGTGTTCAGACAAGGGCCGCAGCTGCGTCCCCCGAGAGAACTTGAGCAGAGGGAAAGTCCTGATCCACACCGAGTGCCCGGTGACAGTGCCACGCACCAGCCAGTTCTGGCTGTGGCAATGCTGAGTCACAAGTGGTTCCCCAGAGCTCAATCACCAAAGGTGCCACTTTCTTGTGGCCACAATGTCTTTGCTGACGCTGCCCATAGGGCTGGCGTAGCGTAGCTCTAAGGCCCGTCCTACGACTTCAGCCTGCTCCAGCATTTGCCTTCTCCAGAAAATGGGGAAGCTGCCAGGACACAGTCAGGAGCCACCTTCTTCCCTGTCCGTGTCCCCAGAGCCTGGCCCACCACGGGGTCTCTGGAATCAATTATGAGACAGATATGGAGATCAAACCACCCTCCCCAGCACCCTCGGGCGTACTTCTGCATGGTAGCAGACTGCTTGGCTCTCACGTTCCGACAGGGTGGCATCAGGCATCTGGTATCAGTGA